AAAGCTAGCAAGATTACAATTAGGCCTCACATGCGCAGCCGCTGTGGAGATGGTTTCCTGTCAATTGATTTTTTTAATGCCACCCAACTAGCAATTATAGCTTGAAAAATCTTGTTTAGTTATAAGAAAGTCGTGTGAAGAGTTTTATGGAACGTATAGGCTAAGGTTAAATTTCCATTCATGATTATTTTCTAGGTGTCTGCCAATTATTCAGTACTTGCTGAAGCAGGAAAGACCACTTATTACACACTTCTAGTCAGCCATTAAGACAATAAGAAAAACAAAGTGCTCAAAAAGTTGATTTGCTGTATTGAACCTCGAATCTTCTTAACTACATCATAATGTTGTAGGGAGGGTCTATATTATGAAACTTGAACATAAAAATCTAAGTTCAGCTGCAATTTTTGCAAGCCTTTTTTCGCACACTAAAATTCTAATGTTATATTATTTAGTCTTTAGGATTCGCTTTCATTTGAAAGCAACAAATATCATCAACAACCTCGTTGATGCAGTGCAATATTTGTTTGTTAGACGCAGTGTACTAATGACATTTCATTCTTTAAAAAGCGCAAATCGACGTCAACTTTTGGGAAAAAAAATTAGTTAGCATCAAGACATGTTATGCTGATGCGCTACCAATATACATTAAAATCCACAAAATTAGTGCGCACCATCATAAAGTTTTATTTTGCATGGTTAACCTACACGACTATCTTTCTTTAGTCCCTTTACCTGCTCTATCATTATTACTCCTTTGCCTTTTCGGTTGGCCTAAGCCTACAAAAAAACTTCATACGGACACGATGATTCTTTTAGTTGGCTGCCAAACCGATGTTTGCACGCGTTCCAGTGTGACTACAACAGAGTATTCTGATGGACAGAAACTTAAAAGGGAATCAAAAGCAACACCATATATGGAATGTATAGTGTATGAAAACGTGTGCCTGTTTTTACTCCCTATTCTATTATAGATACAATTCTAAGCGCTTCACCATCAATCTTTAATTTATAAATGTCTTGTTCATACAAAATTCTGCATAGTGGGGCCCCCATTTATGATATCTTAGTGCCGGGTAACAAAGGTTTTTTTTTCATTTTGAAAAAAATTTTTAAAAAATTCAGCAGTGTTCTGATTTTACGCTCTTGTTAATGAATACCTTGATAGAGCCACTCAGATCGCCACTGGTGTTTAAGCAGAACACGCTGCTTAATAACGTAAAATGAGACTTTTATAATTCTGGTACCCAAAGAGTGTTCCCACACACTTTCATCTCTTTCAACAAGTAATACAAAACCGACAGATTCAAATAGACCAGTTTTTGAAGACGAACAAAAAAGCTAGCAAGATTACAATTAGGCCTCACATGCGCAGCCGCTGTGGAGATGGTTTCCTGTCAATTGATTTTTTTAATGCCACCCAACTAGCAATTATAGCTTGAAAAATCTTGTTTAGTTATAAGAAAGTCGTGTGAAGAGTTTTATGGAACGTATAGGCTAAGGTTAAATTTCCATTCATGATTATTTTCTAGGTGTCTGCCAATTATTCAGTACTTGCTGAAGCAGGAAAGACCACTTATTACACACTTCTAGTCAGCCATTAAGACAATAAGAAAAACAAAGTGCTCAAAAAGTTGATTTGCTGTATTGAACCTCGAATCTTCTTAACTACATCATAATGTTGTAGGGAGGGTCTATATTATGAAACTTGAACATAAAAATCTAAGTTCAGCTGCAATTTTTGCAAGCCTTTTTTCGCACACTAAAATTCTAATGTTATATTATTTAGTCTTTAGGATTCGCTTTCATTTGAAAGCAACAAATATCATCAACAACCTCGTTGATGCAGTGCAATATTTGTTTGTTAGACGCAGTGTACTAATGACATTTCATTCTTTAAAAAGCGCAAATCGACGTCAACTTTTGGGAAAAAAAATTAGTTAGCATCAAGACATGTTATGCTGATGCGCTACCAATATACATTAAAATCCACAAAATTAGTGCGCACCATCATAAAGTTTTATTTTGCATGGTTAACCTACACGACTATCTTTCTTTAGTCCCTTTACCTGCTCTATCATTATTACTCCTTTGCCTTTTCGGTTGGCCTAAGCCTACAAAAAAACTTCATACGGACACGATGATTCTTTTAGTTGGCTGCCAAACCGATGTTTGCACGCGTTCCAGTGTGACTACAACAGAGTATTCTGATGGACAGAAACTTAAAAGGGAATCAAAAGCAACACCATATATGGAATGTATAGTGTATGAAAACGTGTGCCTGTTTTTACTCCCTATTCTATTATAGATACAATTCTAAGCGCTTCACCATCAATCTTTAATTTATAAATGTCTTGTTCATACAAAATTCTGCATAGTGGGGCCCCCATTTATGATATCTTAGTGCCGGGTAACAAAGGTTTTTTTTTCATTTTGAAAAAAATTTTTAAAAAATTCAGCAGTGTTCTGATTTTACGCTCTTGTTAATGAATACCTTGATAGAGCCACTCAGATCGCCACTGGTGTTTAAGCAGAACACGCTGCTTAATAACGTAAAATGAGACTTTTATAATTCTGGTACCCAAAGAGTGTTCCCACACACTTTCATCTCTTTCAACAAGTAATACAAAACCGACAGATTCAAATAGACCAGTTTTTGAAGACGAACAAAATCACTTCAGCTTCCTACCTCTCCATTCCAATTCCCCTCTACCCATTTAGTTTTCCACCCACCTACATACTTGCGATCACATCAACTACTGCATCTGTCAGATCTCAAACATCAAGCAGCAGGTGATGAC